GTTGCCAGCACCTTTGAAGGCACCCCAGGTGGCGCCGTCCGTCATGGCGGGTAAAAGCATTCCTCTCCTCCCCTGCCCTGCAATCTTCTGCCCAGCGGCAGATCTAGCGGTGGGGCGGGCGGGGCTCAAGCCCCCCCTACCGCCATTCAGACAATGGAGCCCCCCCTTAGCCCCTCCTTGATTTTTTAGGAAGAATGAAGAAGAAGGTAAGGGATGGAAGGTAGGAGAAGAAGAAAGAAGGTAGGAGAAGAAGAAAGAGCCCCTCCTAACCTCATGAGCTGGATCCGCCGCTGCTTCTGCCCCATGCAGATCATGGAGGAAGCATGGCAGGGGTGTCTGCATGGTTCTTGAGAGTTGCGTAAGCAGCAAAGCAGTTCATGGATGGTTGGAGAACAATGGCCAGCTGAGCTGCTGCTCCTCATCAATCATCAGTTTATATTTTTTCCATGCCTCTTACGGCCATCGTCCCTGGCTTCCAGTTCCGGAAGGCCTGGTGAGGCGTGGACAGATATGGCAATGGTGAGCTCCTACAGGAGCCTACTCCTTATTTACCAGTTTAAGGTTTCACTCTTCCTGTTGTTCCTCGTTTTCCTTTGTTTCTTCTACTGTCTCCAACAGCCTAGGCATACCACTACCCAAACCTAAAATGCGTTGTGCACAGTAAAAATGCTGTCCAACAGAGTAGGCAAAAGAAGCACCTATTTTGTGTAGAAGGAGAGAGGGAACCCAAATTAGTGTCCTCTCCCTGTCGTCTCTCTCCTCGACCCAAATCTGGAGGCTCCCATCGTCGCTAGGAGAGGAGGTGTAGCCATGGCGGTGGCGCCATCATGGTTGAAGGACGGGCGCTGCCATCAGTTCTGCCCCCCAGAGGCCGCCGCCATCGGTGACCAAGGGGACGGGCCTTGCGGTGGATCCGCGAGGGGAGGTGGAGGGGCGACCGCCGTCGCTGCCATGGGGCCGCCGAAGCTTGAGCCAGCATGGGGGCGAGGACTGTGGGACCGTCGATCCGCCGGAGCTGGAGATGACGGGCTGGGGGGTGCTTTGCCGAGGACGTGGGGTTGCCGACGCAAGGGCAGAGGCGAGCGCGAGGGTGGAGGCCGGCACGACGATGGGAGCGACCGAGGCTGGGGTGCCTAGGGCGGCGGACTCGCCGAGAGAATGGGATGGGGGCGAGCTCCATGGGAGTGGCGCCCGGGCAAATGAGAGTCAGAAGTCGGGGCTCGCGATGGAAAAGGGAAGTTTTGGGTCACACACCCTTTTGCCGTTCGCGACCTAAATGATTGAATGCGTGTATTTAGGTTGGGGCTGTTGGAGACAGTCTTATCTGTTCCCTCCGGCCTCGAGATGTACCGGTGAGAGCAGAAGATTTCAGAGGCAGAAGATTTCTTTAGAAGTCTTTTGCCTGTTCGGTAGCTGATTTTTTCAGTCGCTGCAGTTGCTTTGCCTCTCACAAAATCACTGTGAGGTTGCTCAAAAAAAAATCACTGTGCGGACAGCCATCATCAGCTGCTTTCTGGAGACAGTTTCAATGTTGGTTTTGGAATATGCTACTGTGATTTGCTCGTGTTTACCCTCGCTAAAGAAAGCCTGTGACCTTTATTTGTGCTGTCGAATCTGCAATCATGTACTGTATGATCTACTTGTAAAGGACGCGATGACTATTGTCATATTGTTGGACAATTTTTAAGTGAAAACTCCACGAGCTGAAAACAAAGTAATGAACGGACATTCTACTTCTGCATGGTGGCGTCGCGGATAATATGTCCTGGATCCTCATCGCGGATATACATTGTTTTCAAATGCATATGCCAGTCCCCAGCAATGTCCGTGGCCAGCACCTTCGAAGGCACCCCTGTGGCAGCACCTGGAATTTATGTGTTGTTTTAATTTAGTTAATGACTTTTACCACATTTTGTTAAAAATATATTAACATCTATAATACTAAACAAATACACTATCGATAGGATTTAATGAAATCAGTTTAACTATGTATAGATGTTAGAGAAGTTTAATTTAGGATAAAGCTAAAGTAATCTACAAATCCAAGTGAAAAAGTATTTCCCACGAGTGTCCATGTTTATTTTGCGTTGATTTTCTCCCTCCCTTGGAACTAATACTCTTAGGTCAGTTTGTATGATGAGCTATGGACATCGAACAGGCATTAACGCATTATGAAACAACGTATTTGTAGGTCACCACAAGGATATTCACCACATTTGGTATTTCTAAAATTTATTTATGCATACGAAACTGCCCTAGGATGAACGTATACGTCCTCGGTGGCGAAACCCACCCGAAGGGCTGCCCAAATTCAGACCTCCGCCGCTCCGAGGCCGTCGTCCTCCACCGCTGCTGCGCTCTCCGCATCCGCAAGCGGGGGCCAGCACGCCTGGCCGCCCACGCCGTCCGTGCCTTGCCGCGCCTTACCCGCCGAACCAGCGCGCATCGACGAGCGCCGCCCGCCTGTGACCACGACCTGCCCGACGCCGAGCTCCCCTAATCCGCTGAGGACCATACCCTGGATCTCCCTCGCCGCCCGGACGTGCTCCCACCTCTCAGTCAAGCAGCATCGCCTGGATCTTCCTCGCCGCGAAGCCCCTTGCGGCCAGGTGCGGCGGCGCTTGTGGACCGCCCTCGTCAAGGTGAGGTAATTTCCGAAGCCCATCGAAACAATAAATTAGGATGCTCGTCAACTCTGTGAATGTCTATAGTATTAGCGTTAGATTTCATACTCTGAGGGAAGAAATTAGTATCATAGCTACTCGAGTCTGTTTACTTCTGAGCTTGCAACCAATTATAAGCCTAATGGCTGGCCAACTCCTTTTTAGAATTGGATACAGTTATGATTGCCTATGTTCGGCTGATTATTTGTTTTTTTTTATGAATGGCTGATTATTTGTTGTGAGACTACATTTATTCACAAGCATTAAGAAAGCTCTAGCACATCTTAGCTAGATATTTATTCTTTACTCCTTTTCATTTTCGAAAGACTTGTCCTGTGAGGAAATAAGTATATGGACATAATTAACCTGAATGGTACTCACATTAGAGGAAATGCTCTTTGGATGGTGAATGTTTATTTTTGTACTCACTGTAATAGTATTGTGTTGATCTTACAAGGAACTTGTATTGCCCAATGCTTGCTGGCAAACGGAGAATACTGATAGTGCCAAGTGAAAAGCCAAAGTCACAGCTTATACAATATTGATAACAATCATTTCATTTTTTTATAGTACTCCAACTGTATCCAGGAGTAGTATCTTTGTTGGAGTCTTGATGAAATAAGTATTTTATAATATTTATACTAGTGCATGCAACATTAATAAGACTTTTTTTTTTGTATCATAGTATCCACAACTGTATGAGTATCCAGGGTTTCAAGAATCCTCATACATGATAGCACCACATTAAAAGCCAAGTTACAGACTAGTATCTCTGTTGTAGTCTTGAAGAAAGAAAGTATTATAACTTGAAACTATTTATAATTTTTATATGAAGTCATAACATTAAAGTCAAAATTCTTAAAATATGTCATAAACGTTGCGAGAAATGAGTTGGAGTACATTGGAGTGCATACTGTCGGGTGCTAGTATCATGTCTCGAGAAAAGTAATCAGCACAAATAAATGGACGGAAATGAGTTAGAATACAAATTTACAAGGGTGAAGGGACATGCTTGAGTGCAATTGGTGCTTATGGTTATCGACTACGTTTATTACACTAAACACTCTGGACGGTTATCAGATACGAAAAGGAAATGTCAGTGGAGAACTTTTTTGTCATATCTAACTGATGCAGTTGGTGCTTCTTTCTCTGTCACTCTTATTCTGTTATTCTTATCCCACACTGTAGCAGACTAGACTAGAAATACTGGTCGTCGTCTCACGGTTTTGCTAGAGTTTATCTCCAAGTGGACTTTTGCTCACATTTGCTGATGTATTGGCGTGAGGCAACTCTGAATTTTCAGCCATGGGCAGTTGATGGGTGACTCGCAAATGATAGAATGACGTGTATCTGTTCTGGTTCGTCGCAGCTCGTTGATGACAAGTCCTTAACTCCTTATCCTCGCATTCCTGCGAAACTCCTCTGTTAATGTGGGTGCACAAACTTGTAAGCCTTTAATGATGGAGCACAAACGAGGGCATTCTTTTTGGGGAAAAAACGAGAGCTGTTTGTCATAGATGGCCGATCCCTTTTAATATCTAGAATTGTCATGATATGTTTGATTGTAAATGAAGTAATCAAAACTTGTTTCTGCTGCAAATACTGCAGTGGTAGTGCTTTGTTCCCCTTCTTTTGTCCATCTCTTGATTTGTACAGGATAAATCAATCTCTTCAATTTTATTGTAAGCATTTTGATTTGGTGAAACAATTGGTCATCTATCTACTTGACGTGTATAACAACAATTCTGTGCCCATTCTTTGTACACAGCAGCTCATTTCTTATTATCATGTAGAGAATACCTTTTTGGATTCTTTATAGGCTGCAGAATGGGGCTCCTCATGTTCAAATATACATTTTGCTGTCTTTTTTTCAACTTTTGTGCTTCCAACTCGCATTGTTTCTTCTTGTTTATCCCTGCTTCACACATTGTGCAAACCATATATGTATTAAATTATGCAAATGGCAACTTTTGAGATATTTTTCTTATGCAAATGCCTTGTGATATCTCTATTGTAGGTCAACAAGTCAGGGTGTCGTCTCTGGAAACCAGATCGAGGTGAGAGTTCCATATACATAGATTTTTTTTGCTTCTCTATTGTAGTTATGGGATTAGATGTATAGAAAAACTGAGAAACATCACATATTTATGAGATTAGTTGAGAAAAATTGAGCCACACACCATGTATGAGAATTCTATGTATATGTAATTAACTTTGCAACGCGTCTAAATATAATTTTGAAAAAATTCTTGTTATACTCTGGATATATGTGGCATGAAACATTTGTGAGAAATCTTTGACAAAGTTAGGACTCTATTTCTGTTATCGCAGCATCAGATGGAGAAGCAACTGAACACTCAAGGTGGGGAAGAACAACCTTCAACCCCGTTCGACAAATTTATTACACCGAGCCCTAGTGCAAGTGAGGGTTGTGAAACCGAGTATGAGAGTGGTGAGGAGGAACTTACCTCGAGGCTGAAGAAGAAACCTCATGGAGAGGGAGCAGATTTCAATCCTAAGGATGATGAAGAACACCAAAGTAACGAGGTATGGTAGTGCAAGTTTAGGTCCGATTCAATCCTCATGGGCTTAGCCAATAAGATTTAATGTTCTTATTAGGTCAAGTTATTTGATTTGTCGCCTTCTAATTAATGTTCTTATCCTCGCTAGATCCCACTAAGACCCTGTCTATTGGAATTCAACGAGGTAGAGGGAACCTCTGTACCTAAGCTGATGCCTACAGCGTCCTCAGAGAAGTCTAAGAGGAAACGAGGCCAGCACGGCAGACACCAGCTACCTACCAAGGTGTTTGCAATACACGAGGTCGGCAAAAAAGGGGAGCCCCTCGAGCCAGTCTCAGTGATTTCCAAGTTTAGTAATGCTTGCGGAGTGTTGGTCAGGGAAAGGGTGGACTTCAACATAGACGAATGGAAGAAGGTTGATGTTTTACTTAAGAATTCCCTATGGGAAGAGATTAAGAGGAGATTCACATACCCACTGGACACCAATGAAGAGCTCAACAGGAGCTATGCACTGAGTACCTGTGCAAAAGCCCTGCGCCAGTTCAGGTGGAAGCTTAACCAGAAGTATGTTAAGAAGGGGGAGATGCCTTTTAAAGAATACGGGTTTATCACACAGGAAAGGTGGGACCAGTTTGTCCGATATCACACACGTGAAGATGCTATGGACAAGAGTGAGAAGTTCTCCTTGCTAGCAAAGAGGAATCTCTACCCCCACCACCTTGGCAGTACAGGGTATGTGGTGAAGAAAAAGAAATGGCGGAGGGAAGAAAGGGAGGCAGCTGTGGCCGGCAAGCCTATAGAGTATGAGGGACTGAACGAGAGGACAAGGGACTTCCTCAAAGCCCGTAGGCCAAAGCTACTCGCGCAGGGGAAGAGTAAATTCAATGAGCCACAGACTGAGGAAGCGGAGAAAAAGATTCTAGCATTTGTTGCGGCCGAGCAAGCTGGAACATTTACTCCACATAGGGAAAAAGATCAGCTGTCGGCCGCGTTGGGCAACCCCGAGCATCGTGGCCGCGTCCGAGGCATGTCCTCGAGAATGAGCTGGAAAGACGCCTGGGCCATCGACACGGGCTCCTGTAGGACGCAACAGGGTTACAAGGAAAAGTTGATCCAGGAAACCAGTGAGGAAACAATGAGGGAAATTGTGATGGAAGAGATCCGTAACGTTCTGACAAGTGGTGACCCTAAGATGGTGCAACTGAGGTCACAGTTTTTGGGCAAGGTTAGCTCGATGGAACTAATGCAACGAACGCAACCGGACCAAGGCCTGTCAGTTCCTAGCAGCTCGGCGTCGACTGTGAACCAACCAGCTGATGATATCGTCTCATGTACGCCGTGCTCATTGCATATCCCGGTCGGCAGGAAGAAGCGGATGATGGCGGTGGCCACAGGCATGGCAATCCCGGGCCGCACGTTTCAGTGCCAACCCATCCCGATCGACTACGCCAAGGTCTTGGTGGTCGATGTCCATCCTAATCACCAGAGGCTTGAGATCGACTTGCCCACCAAGGAAGGCATCCGGTACTTGGGAGATGCCAAAGACAACTTAATACTTTGGAATAGGTACGACATCGTCCTTACTACTGCATCGCCGCCACTGCCTCCCATGCAGCTGGAGTGCGACAACGATCCTCCCCAAGGTCAGGCGTCGGCGTCTGGAAACGTGACAGTCGAGGGAGAAGCAGCAACCCCGTCATGAGACATCTCACTGTAAAGGATGGAGCAGGCACATCTGTACAGGCATGTTTTTCCTCGCAATCAGATATCTTTCTGCCAGCTCCAGGAGAGCATCTGATAGATGCGGAAGAAATCCAATCGATCTTACAAATACAAGCACAAAAACAAAATAAAAAAGAATGGGCAATTTTTTAATTTGGAAATTATTAATAGAGGCGGCAACCTTCGGCCAGCGGCTGCCTTAAATCGTTCGGCTCTATTAACGAAGCGGCCTGCCCGACCGCCTCTGGAAATAAAAAGACCATTTCATAGAGTCGCTCGAGTCGCCTGCCTCTGTTAATGGAAGACACCTGCCTCTGCTAATGGAAAATATGTGCCTCTGAAAGTGCATTTTGTAGTAGTAACAACGTAGTTCTACTTACATCAAGCTTGTGTAGGCATTGGGGTTTCAGCAGGTAGTTATGCTATTATTAGAATCCAGAGGTGTTGATAAATCATCTGAGATAGTGCACCACATTCAGTTAATAGGGTAATGGAATTTTCATTAATTATGGACAAGGTATATGTAGTAGAAGTTTACACTTAAATGTCAGTACTGAGTACCTTTAGAACTGAATTAGATGTTATATTCTTTTATGAGATTATTGAGTGATTTATAGCAAAGACATACGTGGTAACTGAAATAAATTGGTTTTGGCAGGTTAAGGTACATCTATGGTCAAACGAATAGCAAAAGGTAAATGGTATTCAAACTACCTGACAAGTATGGTGGATCCATTAGTGAGAAAAATGTCTATATCATATTAAGGGGTCTGATTTCTATGTGCATCGATGTTTCTCGTCATCAAGACCTTATGCTTCTTTCTGTAATGTATGTATCAGAGTTGGACTCAGAACTACTCCCTACATTTCAAATTATAAAGACGTTTAGTTTTTCCTATACATTTTAGATATACACTATGTCTAGATACATAGTAAAAGTAATGTATCTAAAAAAGCTAAAACGTCTTATAAATTGAAATAGAGAAAGTACATTCTATCATATCATATATAAATAATCATTGGTTAAAGTAATGAATGAGTGTGAATCATTATAAGAAATGATTTGTGGTTATATGTTGTTGATCCAGATTAAGAACATTTGTCTTATGAAATAAGAATTGATAACTTATCCAACATTTGATTGTTATATTCACACAATATGAATGTCTTTTTAGACACGTGTGCCGCTGTCTACTAGTAGTAGTTAGTTATAATTTTTGCAGTGTATAAAGACTTGAGGAGACGACAAGCTAGAACCATTACATATTAAATATTCTCTCTATTTTAAGTTATAAGCCGTTTTGGTTTTTTAGGTACAATAGCTTGTTTAGATACATAATTGTACTCTAGAAAAATCAGAATTCATATCTAGAAAAATCAGAACGTCTTATAATTTAGAGAGTAAAATGCACGCTAGGTTCTTAAACTTGTGTCATTTCTATCTGGGTTCTCAAACTAAAAAAGCGGTATCTAGGTCCTTGATCTACTACGACCGCGTACCAAAGGTCCAAAGTTCGCCACGCCAGCGCCAACATCCGGCGTGGCCAACTTTTCACAAAAAAGCTGACCCTTTTCTCTTACTCACTCTAGTCCTTGCACTTGCCCTCCTTGGTACTTGTAGGCAAGGAGAGGTGCCGCCCAGGGGGACACGACATGCGGTGGCACGGTT